CCATTTCCCAGGACTTATTAACCAGTGTGATCGGTATCAAGATGCTGGAATGCTTGAAGTGAATAAATCTTATGTTTTGCTTACCATTATCTTTCATACACTGCTTTAATAAATATGACTGAAGCCAGCTTGATGTTAGTGACATGAAAAACAATGTATGGTGGATGGTAGCTTTAAATTTCCCGGACTTCTGAAAGACATAATAAAGTGTTCAATGGGCAAATTCAACCTTTCGATCACGAGTATGATACGCTTCTACATAAGTCGAACAAAGGCATAAACACTGTGGACTTACTGAATCGTGTTTCATTTTCCGAAGAAAACAAGAATGGAACTTTGAGATCTGATGGAAAAACGGTCTCCTTCAAAAGGTGTTTAACACTGAAGCATAGCGTATCATAATGCTTCAATCCTTAATATAGTTCTCTTTTTGTCACCTGTTGAAAATTAAGCTTATAGATAACTGCAAAATTATTTTCCGTGAGTTCTGACAACTTAAGTAGGTGAAAGGCAATGTTACATATGACGCTTTGAGCCTGAGTTGCATCTCTATATTGAAACATAAGACATCGTATAAGTGGCCGTCATTCAATTTATGACGCTCAAAAACTAATCAGAAAAGTTTCCTCAATAATAAGTACACTTGCCTTTTCCAACACTTCTTCTTCCTAAGAATATGTTTTCTTTCCGTAGGTAAACAAACATGTCAATTATTTCATTTCTGAAACTGGTGTTTCGCGGTCTACTGAAATTGTTCAAATAACTAAGATATTTGTCCGTGAATATACTTTCATGTCAATTAACCTAAAATATCTTCATATTAGACAACCTCACCTAATCTTGCACAGATACTTGATGTCTAATTTGAAAGCCGTTTTGTATTCAGTATGTTATGAATAAAGTAAGAATTTGACTATTCTAACTTGAATTAGGATTCACAGCTTAATCACATCAAAGCCTGAATAGACTTCAGTGACTCTTAATAATTTATGAAGAAAAGAATGACTTTGATAAGAAGATTGTGTTATGACAAACTTGAGTTTGTACCATTGTGGATAAAGGATAAATGTAACTGATGTTAAGAATTACATTCAAAACTTTTATGTGATTCCTTTCCACGTATTAAGTTTCTGCTGTCTGACTGGATATAGACAGTGTATAGCGTAACGCATACATCGTAATAAAGTCAAACAAACCGTAATACGTGTATATAATACAATAACATTAAGAAATTGGGTTCACAAAGAGGTGAAATGAACCTATATATTCATTTATGTAGTAGCAGGGTAAACAAGTCAGCAGTAATAATTTGCGAATTTCAGTCAAATCAAACTACTTTTGATAATCCTTTCACAATCAGTGTATTATTATAATCCATCCCTTAGGTTCCTAGTGGAACATACGGCTTCAGTAGCACGTCTCCAGAACACTCTCTTCTCTGAAGTCTCTTCAACCTGGCTCGACGACAGCCCACAAGCTCTCATTTCTTCCTCACACGGTCACCTCCATGTAACCCTCAGCTGGGACGCCCAACTCATCATATCCCATCTGTGTTCTACTCGAGTTCCTGGTGCGTGATGTTCACAGTCGGTCTTCTCAGTGCGTGTCTAATCCATCTCCATTTCCTTCTGCATATTCGTTGAGCAATAGGTTTTTGGTTCGTTCGTTGCCAGACTTCCCTTCTGCTTATTCTCATTATTCTGACCATCTGAGCTTCAGTATCAAGTGAGCGTAGGCAGTTGTTGATGAATGTCTGTAGTTTGTTGTTAATGCCTTTCGTAACGTGCCAAGTCTCTCAACCATCACATAGGTGTACTGAGTTGACTGAATTGGTGTTGAAGATCTGGATGTTGTTCACGCTTTGTGCTGAGTGCAGAAGATCTTCACTTGTTTCAGATTGATGAAAGCCTGTGTTACTTTTCCGATCCTGGCTGCTTTGACATCCTCGCCAGTCCCGCCTGTAGTTGAAACGATGCGATTTGATTGGTTTTACAGGGTAGGGTTGCTAGTCCTATGCCTAACCTTCCCTCTTCACCTGGGCTTAGGACCGACTAGTAACTAGTGAACTAGTTAAGCAGGCGAGGTTCCATTGTCAGTAAATCTTTTTAAATACACTTTTAGTAGACTTTTGATTTTCATTCACATCTATATAAATCTTTTGACTTAAACGATGAGATCATATTAGGCATACAATTGTGCTTGACCTGTATATTCTTCAAGTTTCAGGACAAAATATACAGACAAACAGAAGGATTAGGTAGCGATGGAATCATCAATATCTGCGATCATAGCAGACCTAGTTATGCATAGTTGGGAAAACATGGTGTTACGAAGGTTTGACCGTTTACTCAAGATATGGTGGTGATATGTGGATAACACATTTACTACCCTGTTGAAATTGAAACATATCAACAATTTCCTCACACATAGCATCAACTCAGTAGTAGGCGAAATCCACTTCTCATTTTTGAGAAGATAGACAATGAACAAGGTGAATTACCCTTGTTGAATTGTAGGATAAAACGAAGGACAAATATCAGTGGTTTGGATACTGACGTCGACAGGGAAACCGACACATTCTTATAGGAAGTCATCTGAACTTCATGTCATCTCATCCTCTCATCATCTCATGTCAGTAAGTGAAGGCGGGTTTGCTAAAATGTCTAAATGATAGAGCTAGAAAACTGACCAGTCAGCGTAAGGACCCGAACAAGGAACTGAAGTGCTAAGTGTTTGTTTTATTTTGACCCTGAAGTGATGTTACAGTATTCTAAAAATCAAAAGAAATCTATTTTACTTTTCCCATTTTTACGATTATTCTCCACATTTTTTTTCTACTCTCGTCACAACTACTTTCACTACTACTCTCCCTTGTCAAGAAGTTAGTTGTCTTGGACTGATTTTAGCTACAATCAATGCAAGAGAGTTCACAAAATTTCGTACTGTAGGTAACCTGTGCTAATTCAGCAGCTAGGTCATAGAAATAAAGTGTCGTGTTACAGATTACCATCGACTGAATTCTGAGTATCAGACTGGAAGAGATCATATTGTATGAAATTCGAAAAATCATATTCTCTTAAGATGAAAGTGAGTAGTTTGTTGTGCTTAAGATGTTTAACAATGAATCTATTAAGAGCATGACCTAACTTCTATCACATACAGGTTACAAAAATGTTTTGCACATGTGTCATTTAGATAGTGTGATGAAAGTATTCTAATCCCTTATAATAATAGTATTTCGAAAGGGCATAGTTACCTATCTAATAAATAAGTTTCTTCCCCATTTCATTATTGATACAAACATACATCATTTTTTACTACTTACATGATGCATTGAATCCACATTCAAGGTATTTAAAAAGCACTAATAATCTACTTGCCAGGAATATATCTTCTAGAAATCGTTCAACACCTTTCAGAGTAACAGCAAGCTTAAGAAAAGTTGAGATACTGAACAGCAAAGAAGAGTCTTCTGAAGTTCTTCCTTTCATAGAACTACAGTGAAGGAATAAAAAGATTGATTTGTATACTACCTAATGCCTATCATCAACTTAAGAATTCTTTCTACAGTTATTTTGGTAATAGTGAAATACCCGATTCATGTTTAAATCAAAAGCAGCCTACCGTCAGCTTACATATCTCTCCTGTATGATGCAATCTAGACTGAAACTTGTCCTAACTAATGGTATTAGGATGAATATATACCTACTTGAAATAGTGGAGAATATTTGTACCTCAGATGGATGGTTTTCGTTTTATTGCGTTCTCTGAGCTAGATTGTTTAATTATGAAGCTGTCATCGTCCTTCTAGACGACATTATCAGCACTAACTTCAATATGAAGTAAGGTGTCAATATCTCTCCATCAGTGAGTGATTGAATAGCTTGCCTTGATGAAGTGGTCTGTGGTTGGTTGTTTCCTTTGATTGTTGTGTCATTGACTGTATGGATTTTCCTGTTGGCTGTCCCTCTCCTTCACCTCTGACCTTTGTGTCGTTTATCATCTTTCTTATGGACATGAATTCAATTTCGACAATGCAGAAATTTTGGACAGAGGAAACACAAAAAATATCAGAGAATTCCTAGAAGCTTCGCATTAAAGTCAGTCAGTCAGCAATCAACAGATGTATAGACGTAGACCCGATCTATGAACCAGTAATAAAGATGATAAATGACACAAAGGTCAGAGGTGAAGGAGAGGGACAGCCAACAGGAAAATCCATACAGTCAATGACACAACAATCAAAGGGAACAACCAACCACAGACCACTTCGTCAAGGCAAACTACTAAATCACTCACTGATGGAGAGATATTGACACCTTACTTCATATTGAAGTTAGTGCTGATAATGTCGTCTAGAAGGACGATGAAAGCTTCACGAATAAACAACTCAGCTCAGACAACACAATACAACCAAGATATACCCACTTATCATTTGTTATCCTCTTTACAAAATATCAAGTTGACAAAACTTCAGTTCTTAACATAAGACACTATAAACTAAGTGAAGTATAAGGTATAAATAAACTGAAACTTCTAAGTACAACTTTTAATTGTTTTTTTTTTGAGATAATTTTATGCAATTCCATCTTTGTAATTATCTATCTACCTTAAAATATGAAACAATATTTAGTAGAACACTTTATTTCATATGTAGCATATCTGATGTAAAATTAAACAAATGACATCATTATGAATCATTTATGTTAATTAAAAATAATATTTAAATAAACTAAACCATAATTGAATCTTTTTTTAATATTTTATATATAATTTCATAAATTATAAATCAGTTTTTTAGTTATTTCACACAATGTCAATGTTTTATTCATTAAATATAATTAAATAATATTGAAAAAAATCAGATAATTTATTTAAATAACTTTACTAAAACGTTTCATCTTTATAAATGTACTTTAACCATATTTAATTCTAAAGAATATTTTCTTGAATATAAAGGCTAATTTGATCTTAGTGAACAGTATGACAAGTATTTTAAAATGTCTTACTCTACTACCAAGCTTATTACTATATTTACATTGTTAGGTAAGATAATTTTAAAGCATATAATGCATATAATACATTTCTTTAGTTGGAGTTACTTTATCTTATATAGCCCAGGTAAGAATTAATAGTAATAATGAGACAAATACTTTTGTTGTGTAATTAATTTGTTATTGAATAGTATTAACCGAATCATTTTTAATCAACAAATGATTTAATCGAGTATAATCTTGGCAGTTAATCAGTAAATTTTTAAGGCATCAGTTTAGAAAAATTCTTTTCGAAATTAAGTATTGAAATATTGGTTGTTTTTCTTTGATGATATACACTCAATATTTGAGTTCTCTTTTGGAATGAATTGATTTAATATTCCAAAACATTCGCATTGAAGGATATTATACAGTCACCTCCCTAAAATTGACATAGTTTACTACGATGGTGAATAATATATTCATAGTCTGTTTACATACGCTTTAGGTAATATGAAAGTTTTCTGAAAACTACAAAAGAATTTTGAACTAACGTTTAGCTCATTTAGTTTGTACAACATGTAGGTTTGACCCAATAGAGTTTAATGATTCTAAACACATTTCATTATTCACAATCAAAGTAGTAATCTCCAATTCTAGTGACTTGGTGCAAAATTTTCATATTTACATAAGGATATTTTGTAGTTTGAATAAATAAAATAAAAGTTAAGAAAACCCATCTCCCGTTTATGAACAATTCTAATAAAGTGTAATTGAATTTGAGGGTTTGTGGAGATTTAGTGAATTTTCAAATTGGTCTTCATCATGTACTGACATCAGTCGGGGAACATTCGAAACATGGAAGCACTGGAAAGCTGTTTCTTCCCACTTGTATGGGACTCCTTAGCAATACGCACCGATGAAACTAGCCTTCAGGAATTAAACAAAGCACCCTCAGGTTCCGTAGCCAAAACGTTACAACTGAGCCAATGGGTCGAATTCCACAACATGTTTTTCGAATAGAAGAAATTTTCGTGTTTAGTGTTCATAGAATGCGCTTTCATCTATGCCGTAAACCAGTTCCTCTATAATGAGGCACGCGAATTCGGACAATCTTTTATCAAGTTTCATCCGATTTTCATAAATGATGTACCAAGCAGGTGAACAAACCGAAAAGTGTTTATCAATTTAAGCTGAATATAATTATTATCGCACTGTATACCAAACCAAGAAATAAAGATAATTGCAGAGTCTAATGTTAAAAATTGTGAATATGACAGTGCATATATTAGTCGCCTGTAAAATGCCACTTGTTACATGGTGCAGTCAGATAATCATTTCATGACATAGAAGTTTGTCAGTTCTGGGATTTACATGAGAATCTTGTATAATTATGAGTTTGTTTTGGTAGCATTGTACAACAATAAGTCATATATGAATATAATCAATTGATTGACTAATAATTTGTGCGATCAAATAGAAATGTAACCACTTCCTAACCTTTTGAAATAATAACTATTAATTAAGTAGCACATTCGTGTATCTAAGCTCTGGAATGACTTAACAAATCTCGATCCTCAAAGAGGAATTCCTTTGATAGTGAGTAAGCAAAAATAGGTGATTTCACCTAACCGCAGATCCAGATTTTCAACACTAATTTCAGTCAAGTAGGTCAGTGATTCCATGTGATAGTTCAGAAACTTGGCACAACACGAGAAGCATTTCCAACAAGTTACAGACATTCATCTCATCAACAGCTGCCACCTACACTCACTCGATACTGACACTGAAGATCAGATGGAGGGCAAGGATGGGATGATAAGAAGAATAAGCAAGGAGGAAGTGTGGCTGGCTGACAACGAACCAATCAACAAGCCGTCGTCCAACAAATATGCAGAAGGAGAAAGTGGAGATGAGTTGGAGTGAGCATACACTGAGAAGACTGATTGAGGACATCACACGACAGGTGAGAGCAGGCCGTTGACTTGAGCTCAAATGGGAAACGACGAGTTGGTCATGTGAGTTGTGAGTGACATGGAGGAGATGGTGTGAGGAGGAAATGAAAGCTTGTTGGGAAATTGTGGAGCCAGGTGGGGACAGACTTGAGAGAAGAGAGTGAAGTGGAGATGAGGACGTGCTACTGAAGGTGTATGTTACCCTAGGAACCCAAGGGTCAATTAATAATTACAATACCTAACCATAGAATGAAGACGTTCTCAACCCACAACATGCTCATGGTTTCAACACACTTAGTATTCCTTTTCTAAAATATGCAAATTAGGACTCCATATATATATAAATATATCGGTAAAAAAATTCTTTCATTGTCTACATTCTGATCTTCTTACAGTTTTTTCCGCTGAATGTTCCAAACAGAGTTGTTATCATTATTATTATACTTTACAGCGACATTTCCAGATCCAAATCAGGCTAAATTAATGAATCGCATCTGTTGTTTTTTTACCAGCCAACCAAAGAACTACATAGTTTAAGAACTCTTTGCCTCTGTAAAATTTATGGATTCACTATGACTTATGCCTAATGTCACACAAACTTGAAGATCTACAGGCAAAATCCAACAAGTTGACAGAATTGGCAGGGCAGCAGACACGGGACTTCCTTCAAGTTAACGTGCAGAAGACAGAGGTGATGAAGCTACCCAACCAATACCACCACCACCGACAGCAACAACCACAAGCTCCAATCACCATCAGTGGGAGAAACTTAAAGAAAGAAGTCTCTTTCATCTACCACCGAGGAAGCATCGTTTCAACAACAAGCTGCGGCACAGATGAGGACGTCAAAACCAGGGTAGGAAAGCAACACAGGCTTTCATCAATCTGAAACAAGTGTGGAGATCTTCTACACTCAGCACAAAGCGTGAACAGCATCCAGATCTTCAACACCAATTCAGTCAACTCAGTACACCTATGTGATGGTTGAGAGACTTGGCACGTTACGAAAGGCATTCTCAACAAACTACACACATTCATCAACAACTGCCTACTCTCACTTGATACTGAAGCTGAGATGGCCAGAATAATGAGAATGAGCAGAAAGGAAGTCTGGCAACGAACGAACCAATAACCCATCACTGAACGAATATGCAGAGGAAGAAAGTGGAGATTGTGATGGATTGTGCATACACTGAGAAGACTGATTGGGAACATCAGGTGGCAGGCGAGGCACTTAGTGGAACCGAGATGAGAAAGGGTGAGTTTGTCGTCTGAGGTGAGGGTGACATTGATGAGATGGTGTGAGGAAGAAATGAGAGCTTTTGGTGTGCTGTGGAGCCAGGTTGAAAAGACTGCAGAGAAGAGAATGGAATGGAGACATGCTACTGAAGCCCTATTTTCAACTAAGAACCCAGGGAACAAATAATGATATTATTATAATAGCGTTAAGTTTAAATATCTCAAGATTAACGTTTATTGAGCACTATATTGCCATTTTTATTTCTGTGGCACACATTTCAGTCACAGACTATCAGAAATCGGTTACAATACTCCATATCAACCAGTAATATTCAAGCTATATTGAAGTAAAGAATTTTTCCTTAACATACACATAAATACTAGATATCTTGTTTGTTGAAGTGTATACATCTCTTTTCATTATAAATAAAAGATCATTTAACTAGATAATCATGAATTTTTATTCTAGCCTTATCATAGCTGTAGTTTACACTATTTGTGAACACAGTGAATGCTGTTTTTATGACAGTTTTGAAAACGACTGATAAGCTATGAACAAACTATCAAGCTCTGAATCCTGTTCCGGTTTATTTTCATAACTTCTCTTACATTTCGATAAACAAAAGAAAAGTTGATACAGTATAGCTCCATTTTAGTATATAACTTACAGATATTTATAGAGTAGAGTACCTCATTCGTTTCAAGTTTCATTATTATTCACTTTAGTTATTAGTATTTCAGCATAAAACTATGATTACAATAATAACTGAGATGTTCTTTTTCAGTATTTTCTGATTTATTTCATTACTTTCAAGTGCGTTGAATTCTTAAGCTATTCTTTGTGAAACTGATAACTGCAGAGTATATTTTCTTCCTAATATTCACGGGGGGTGGTAGGGGCAGTTAGCGTACCTTTTGCTCAGCAAAGCATTCAACAGAAAACGCTAATGAATTCAATGTGGAATAAGTAAGTGTAGAGCTTGTCAGGGTTAACATATTTTTTTCTACACATTTACTGATTTGATCTTTAAAATGTTTTTATACTTTTCAGCAGGATACAAATCTACAGGATACAACAAATTTAGATATTTATACCTATGATAAAAATGTCAGTAAGTCAATTTTATCAAACAATTTTAAATTTTCTATAATCTTTTTAGCATGTTCTCTTTGCAAAGAAATGCTTACTCAATGGCAAAAAATGATGAATTCAACCATAATGGAAGAACGACTTGATAGATATGTTGAATATATCTGTAGATTTTCAATAATTTATAAAGATATGGTAAGTAATTGACTGGTTGTGAAATTGCTCAAAATGTCTCGAATTTCATTCTGATGATCTACTAGATAACGTATACCGGTGATTGTTCATGAATATATTATTCAATACTAAACTGCTTTATAGTTCAGCTATATACATCAGGCACACATGGTCACTTTAATTTTTTCGTTTGACTGTCAAGTTAAAAACTGTCACTAAGTAATAGTATGAACAGATGTCAATGTCAGCCTGCTTGATTGGCTTACAAATATATGAACGTTTACTGCATATCATTAGCCGATAATTCCATCCCAAATCTATTGGTAAAGAAATCTGATAACTGTAATATACTAGTTTTCTGTTTCGGTGGTTTTCCTTTTCTATGCTTGGTTGGCATTTCTGTTTGAATTAAACCATGAAGTTTGCTTCTATCTGATACCTTAACATCTTAAGAATGGCCTTGAACTAAGTCATTTATTCTTTGAGATTGGTTTACAATGCTCTAAATGAAAAGATTTTCTTTTCTTATCAAGATTGTTTACGTTTCAGATGGTCGGTTGACTTCTGAAGCCTGGCTAAGTTTACTGAGCTCATCCTAAACTGATTAATCAAAACTTTATTCAATGTCACTTGGTTAGAGATGTTGGCATACTTAGATTCGTTGGTCCTAGTAACAAAGCGGCGCTCAATAAGGCGTTGTATCAACATCCTTTCGCGATTATTCCAATGGTCTTTGTCTCACCGATTTATGCTTTTTGAAGACGGATTCGAGAACATAGCAATTCTAAATGTCAGTAACCTAGTGAATAACCGTCTGGCATCTGAAATCACAGTAGGATCACCGTCACTCACTGAGATACAAGTACATCCAGAAGGCAAGTTCCACAGAGAATAAAAAGAGCGTACTGTGTTTGAATGCTAGGTAGCACCAAGTAGATATATTTTTAGGTAATATCTAGGTAGCCATATAGGAGCCCATATACCGACAGAGATCAGCCAACTTTATCTGCTATAGCAGTTGAAAATAACATGTTTTAATAAATAAATACACTGGACATTCCCTGGAAAATTAAAATCATTGTAAAACTGGGTGTCGAAAGTAGAGTGATTACACTGATGTAATTATGATTAATAATTTATGCTGAAAACGCCATCCAGTAGATAATACAGTATCAATGTGCGATATATATCGAATAAACAATTTCTATGTACAATCTCTGGAACATTTAATCAGTATGATATACATTTAACTTTTTTTGTGAAGAAAAAGTTACAAAAGTGAACTTGATTGACTTTAGAACATTTGCATCAAGAAGGAATTATTTAGGGGTGTTATAAATCACTGGAACGAAACGAGATCATATTCTTCCCGTCAGACATTCCAATGCAGAGCAAGGTACACATATCATGTATTTACTATCCACAATCGCTCGTCTTTGCCCTTAGTATACCTCTGCAAAGGTCTCGTGTGAGAAATAGTGAGGCTGAAATCAACTAAGGCCATTTTATTAACAGTTACAATTCTCAGCTGATCTCAATATCAAAGCTTACCATGAAATGATGGTGTCAGCAGGCACTCATAAAGCTTCTTAGAGGTAATTGAAAACTATAAGGGCTTTTCTGAAATTTCAGAGTTTGGCCTCCTCATGTGTTTATCTCTTGATCTCACACACTGATAGCTGTCAGAGTACATGATGGCTAAAGTTTAAAATATATCAGTAGTTGTTTTATCAGTACCCTATTTTTGCATGGTTCCCTTAAACTTATATATGTTTCAGGAGTGTTCATTCACTTAGCCTAAAAACATAGAACCATAGCCCAAAAAGTATAAATAGTCCCTTTATACTGCATTGAAATGCCTCAATGCGACTCGCTTTCATGAGGATTTTGTCTAGACATAATAATATGAGTTTTCTTCAGCTTTTTCATATCTCCAACACTACTAGTTGGTGGATTTTCAGACTTTATTTCGGAGGTAACTTACCCAATCCAGTGGTAATATCAAATTTTGCTTGAATGTATCCATTATTTTAACATATGTTAAATGTATTTAAAAGACTTAATGGTTATTATCCTTATTATCCTTCCTCAAGTTCTTAGTGAAGCATACACCTTAAGTAGCACTTCCACATCTCCACTTCACTCTCTTCTCTCAAGTCTGTCTACACCTGGCTCCACAACTCCCCACAAGCTTTCATTTCTTCATCACACCATCTCCTCCATGTCACTCTCAACTCACATGACCAACTCGTCGTTTCCCATTTGACCTCAAGTCAACGGCCTGCTCTCACCTGTCGTGTGATGTCCCCAATCAGTCTTCTCAGTGTATGCTCACTCCAACTCATCTCCACTTTCTCCTTCTGCATATTTGTTGGACGACGGCTTGTTGATTGGTTCGTTGTCAGCCAGCCAGCCAGTCAGCCAACCAGCCAGCCAGCCACACTTCCTCCTTGCTTATTCTTATTATCATCCCATCCTCGCCATCCATCTGATCTTCAGTGTCAGTATCGAATGAGTGTAGGTGGCAGCTGTTGATGTGATGAATGTCTGTAGTTTGTTGGAAATGCTTCTCGTGTTGTGCCAAGTTTCCGAACTATCACATGGAATCACTGACTTACTTGACTGACATTAGTCTTGAAAATATGGACCTCTTTCTTCATACTGAGTGAAGTAGATCTTCACACAGATTATATCGGAATAATGAAGTGAGGCTTATCTTACTGTCTTTCCGATCCTGGCTTTGACGTCCTCATCTGTGACACCGCCACCTGGAAAAAGATGCTGCCTACATAGCTAGGTAGATGAGAGAGACAACTTCCTCCAGATTTTCCAAGTTCATGAGGACTGGTGCTTTTTGTTGTTGGTTGGGTATCTTCATCACCTCTGTTTTTTCTACATTCATCTAAGAGAAGTCTTGCCTTCTCTGCCACGCCTCTTCTGTCAACTTGTTAGCTTTCGCCTGTAGATCTTTGAGTTTGTACGACGTTAGACATAAATCATCATCACTGGCGAAATCCGAATCTTCTATGGTCTTTTTATCTGTCAAATAGCCTATGCTCCTCTTCTCGTCCCACACATTTTGTTGCGTTATCTAGTCGATCACAATCAGGAAGATAATCGGTGATAGTAGGCAGCAACCTTGTCTTACTCCTGTCTTCCCTTCAAAGGCGTCACTTAGCTTTCCATGATGATAAGTATTCCAAATGAATATTTTTATTATATTTGTAATTCATTACTGAAGTTCCGCTATTGCTTAAAGCTGAAAATTCCCAAATTCGATAGTTCTTTACAAGATTACTTCAATTTCCTCCTCATTTTTATTGTATATTTAGTGTAAACAAATCAGTCAACAATACTTCGAAAGAATTTTATACCTTGTTAATCATACCAATGTCGAAGTTTTATGTGAGGTAACTCTGATGTATATTTTTAATTTTGTCAATAAATGAACCATTTGGTATGGTTTCTTTATTCAATAATAAAATCATTCCTTTAATTATAAAGGAATGAATACAAGTCATTTATAACATAATTCTTTATTAGGATGTCAGTAATAATATCAGAGAATTTGAAAAGCAACCTTTTGACTCATGCACATAACGCTGTGTAAAATGTGCTACTTTTCATAGGTGATCGACCACATTCTTTCACAGAAAAGTTTCAAGATTTTTTTAAATAAGTCATAAAGTGTAATCATTACAAATTACTGACTTGAAACTTTTCTAATTACAACCAAGCTGCCATTTATCTATATCAACCAGTTGTTAGTTTTGCTTGTAACTTTTTCAATTGTATAACCACTTGAAAAGAAATAATTCAGTTAAATACTAATAAAACCTTTTTCATAATTTCATGACGAAGAAATGATGCAGAATTAAGGTGTTTGGTTCTTCTAGTTAATAGCAATCAACGAAGAAATTACAACATAGTGAATCCTCAGGTAATAACGAGGCAACCACATAGGAGACTATATGTCGAAGGTAGTCGGTTAATTCCATCTAAATTAAAAACGAGATACTGTATATGTCAATAAATAATGAAGTCTAATATTTATGTGATTTAATTACGAAAATTGTCTCAATCATTTCATTCATATGTTATGATCTATTTCAGGCAACACTCTTCTGCTAGTATCTTGCTATGAAGACATTCAATTAATTTACAGATGTTCAAAACTTTATCCCATGAAATTATCATTCCTTTCTAATAAAATACTTATCTAATCATACTGTCTTATGTCTTCTATTTTGAAATAAATTTATATCAAGTAGTCACACTTAATTCTATGAAATTTGTATAAGCTTAATACTCAATAGGATTTTAAAGAGAAGCGAGATATCATAAAGAATTCAACGATTAGATTTCTATCTGGTAAAAATGAAAAGAGTGAGAAACAATAAGTGATAGCTATTTTTTTAGCAATTTGTAAATTGAAAGTTTTATAAAAACTTTACACTTTGTACAGTTCATTCCCTTCAAATGTTTTAGCAAAGCTTATACAACAATTTTTTTCCCAAATATGATAGATTGTTTGTATTTTATCACTTTCGTTTTCTAAAATGAAGCTTCGCTTGTCTGTACATTAATGGCTAGTGTGATCCTAGCGGTTTCATTTCTTTATATGTCTGGTTGATTTGACTTGAAAACTTAACCAATCTGATTTATAACATGCTTATCGTCTAATTGTGTTACAGTGTAAAAATGAGTGATGCATAACACTGAGTCTAAATTTAGAAGATAGGCATTTCTTAAAGTTTCAAGTTGTTATTCATCGTAGACTGACATCAGTTGGAGGAACAAAGGAAACTTGGGAGCACTGGACAGCTGTTTCGTCCCAGTATGGGACTCCTCAGCAGTGCGCACCCACGACCCCACCAGCAGGGGTCGAACCCGCGGCCTTCAGGTTCCGCGGCCAGCGCGTTACCATTGAGCCACTGGGTCAGAATCCAATGCTCCATATTTCCAACTTCTGTTCTTAAAGTGATGTTTAGTATCAAATAACGTTATATATGTTTACAGAAAACACCTACTATTATTCTTGATGCGAAGTTAACATTACTGCTCTCCTGAACATGTTCAATCATTCATTTACACATAGCAAAAGTTGAACATAATTTGAAATATAATAATGATATAATATGAAACAATTAGTCCCTTTTATGAATTCGGATAATGTAATTAGAAGACGTAGATTATCTGAAAAATGTGATGTATTAAGATGTGATGTATTGAGAAGACCAAACACCTGCTGCTACCTAGACCTCAATGCCGTATAAACGATTGTGTCACATCCCATTGCGTTTATAAATTTACATGTGTGTGGACAAACATACATAGGGAGGACAAATCGTGATATGCACTTGAGGGTAGGGGAACATGTTCCAAAGTGGCTACGAAAGCAGCTGGATTCACAAACATTGATAAGCGCAGATGGCAGACAACCATCATCATCCATTGCGAAACATATCATTGATAAGAGTCACAGAATTGATATCAAGACAGCCTTTACAATTTTGTACAGAAACTGTCCGGGGCGTATACTTAAGTTTGTTGAGGCGCTAGCCATAAATAAATTTAACCCCCAATTGTGTGTGCAAAAATAGTTTGTCCTCACATTAAGCCTACCTTGGTAATGCTTATTTTATCGTATTACCAAAATTGTCTTCAAGTCTTATCTTTTATTCCTCTCATTATCTTTCTTATTATTGAATTCCTTTATGTCATATGTGTCCTTCCCCTACTTCCAGTTTTCATATATAATGCCTTAACAAGTAAATGTGTGATCAGATTGTTCGAAATGTATAGCGCTAATACATCACATTTTTCAGATAATCTACGTCTTCTAATTATATTATCCAAATGATATAATAGTAATGGTCACTTCAATCAAAACAATATATATGACACGTTGCGGAATTTTAAGCATGTTATATTTCAATGAAAGCGTTCTCCATACCATATTTTTAGAAGAAATAGTTTCTGCATGTAATTAGTGCTAATAATAACGAAATTACAGGCATTTATTTGAAGCGAGTAGCAAGTATTACTTCAGTGTCTAGTCTGGACTTATGGATGAATACAAAAAATTTTGTTAGTGGTATTTCAACAGGATAGTACAAAAATTGTATTTTTAAGTATCTATATGTCAACTTTCATCCAGTTTAATGTTTTTCTCTTTGCTTCATCCATAACTTGAAAAACAAGAGTTTAAAAACATTTTACAATGATGCAAAAGTACACAACATATTTAGATAACCTAAAACAAACAGAAACGGAAGAATCTGATTTAACGTTGTTGGTGGGAACATATTTTCTGTAGACCATGGTTTAAATAGGCCGCCTCAAGACTATCATCTTGTAAAAGTTAATACAATTTAACAGATAATTACTTCATTTATGTTTAAAGTGTTCACTTGATACTTCAGTTCTTGGTGCATTATAAAATTTGACAGCTTTTTCCACCATTTTCATTACATGAATGAGGATTAAAAAAAATTGAGATTCCGACTCATTAGTGAAACCCACCAGATTAAATACATGTTGCATAACATTATGCAACAGCTGTGTTACTGAGACTAGCAAAATAATACACACACCGAAACGAAAGCATTAAAAACTATTCATCCTATAGTTATATGTATATTACCATAAGCAGAATGTTATTATTAAGAAGAAAATCAAGTTTGGATCTGACTACAGGGCTATGTTGGACAACTCCGTCATGATGATGTCAGAGATAGAATACTACCTATTACACTTTCAGAAGAGTTTATGAAATATGAAGCAAGAAAAGGCATAAATGTGTACACATTTGTTAGAGTTGAGCAAATAGTACCTCTCAGTATGGTATAACCAATTATGTTAAATTTTAATGACTTTATATGTATGCCTAAAGAATGATCTGTTCATAAAAGTAATCGGCTTCATAACTAATTTTTCATTTTGAGGGGGTTGTGGAGATTCGGAAATACTTCAAGTTGTTATTCATCGAAGACTGACATCAGTTGGAGGAACAAAGGAAACCTGGGAGCACTGGACAGCTGTTTCGTCCTAGTATGGGACTCCTCAGCAGTGCGCACCCAGAAGTTGGAAATATGGAGCATTGGATTCTGACCCGGTGGCTCAATGGTAACGCGTTGGCCGCGGAACCTGAAGGTCGCGGGTTCGGTCCCTACTGGTGGGGTCGTGGGTGCGCACTGCTGAGGAGTCCTATACTGGGACGAAACAGCTGTCCAGTGCTCCCAGGTTTCCTTTGTTCCTCCAACTGATGTCAGTCTTCGATGAATAACAACTTAATTTTTCATTGTTTGACAGGAATACAACTACATTGTAGTTTAATTAGTCGTAGCTAGTAGTAGATTCCAGGAAGCATATTTCATCTTATTTTAGGGCTTATCAGCTGGCTGCAACTGCACCTGCTGGAGTCATGGGGTTCCTGTTGAAACGCAAACCCACAACTAAAGTTCAATCTACCAAACAAATTGCTTAGAGAAATAAACAATATATTCCATTCACATGGCATATATTCAGGGTGAAAAATCAACAGCAAACTTAGTTTGGCTTCGGCTAAATATGGCATATATGTTAAGAAATACTTCTCAGAAAAAACATGGGATGTTTGCATCAATGAGTATGGAAAATTTCGAAGCACCGTGAGAATCTGTGTTGAAAAGCCTTGAGACTAACTACTTTTATATCCTGCAAACTGAAGAAGTCAGATAATTATGCAATCGACAGCGTTCTGAACTCCACTTATTGGACAATTATGTCTCTTCACTTATCGAATTTGACAACTGTGTTGACCAACAACTTAGTTCAAAAATATTGAAACTTGAATAGAATAGTTGTGATGTTATTGTATAGGAATCAAGATAAAAATAAAACCAATTTTTCTGAGAAAGACTACAAAGGTTGTGTTCATATGATGGTTTTCTGTGATTCTCTTCCAGATGTGAAGTAAAAAACATTCTTCACTCAGTCTGTGACTGAAACAGATAAATTAGTAGATATCCTTAATATGGCAGTATTTCAAGTGGTCAGTAAACACTACAGTGTTACATGTCTGAAGGAAGCTATGAACCAGTCTTCAGAAAGACGTGTCCGTATGAATGGAGATACTAGTACTACTTTAGTGATTTACATTCACTTCATTCAAAGATGAAGTCACAGACGTTTCCCTTGAGCTATTTAAACCACGAGTGACTTATTGTAGGACTGAAGTGTCTTGGCAAACTGGTCACCAGTGAAAAAATGAGACTTCCCTTTAATGCAATTCATCATAGGAGTTACCATCACAATGGATGGTAACAATTTCTGCTCATTGGCTATCTGAAAACTGAGTTCAACATGAAGTTCGTTCGGCAGTGAAATTTGACTTTTGCTTTAGTGACCACTGGAAAAGTCATTCTTAAATGATAAAAGGCAACAACTGAGATCAGTATAAGAGTCATTATTCCCCATATGAGACTGTAAAATGAGACCAAGTCTTCCAGTCCTGTATTTAAGACAGAAGACTTGTTACCGCTCACATCGTTTATCGTAGGCAAGAAGTAACAGTTCTATCATTAACATGGTGCTTACCATACGGACAAGTTTTAGATTGTCTACTTTTTTCCCCGAAGCAACGACTCGCCTTCCATACATGGTAACCAAGAGGATCTCGTATGCTGCGATAACACAGTACTCTAAGTGCCATGTTATCAAAGCACCTAGACACCCTGCAAAGTGATTATACCATCCACAATCCTTAACATATAGGCGTAACACAACAGTTTTCAAGTTACTTATTAGAATACGTCCTAAATCCTTCTATTTCCTAACTCAGTTTCACACTGAGCCATCCACTGTTTGTTGATGAAAGTTTTCTTTACCAATGTACCAAACACTAATTTTATTGGAATAGTTATGAGACTTCAGCTTATGGACCACCCGTTCAATTCATCTATGTTATTTAAGTGTGCTACACAATTCTTATCATAATCAATAATTTTCCAAACTTTATATCATCTCCAAATAGAAAAGAAGTCTTGGGAATTTTCTGAAGTTCATTGAAATAAACAGGTAATAAAAAGGTCCTAGTTGGTGCTCTAGTAATCCATTTCCATCTGAACATTACGCTGTTTGCGTCAAATCTTCCATCATGGAGATTACTGCTGACACTCTTTCAAGTTGTTTACATCAAAAGTAGTCGAATTAGTTAGCAAGCCAACGCCACGAGTTCTCCAAGGCCATAAAGATATGAATGAAATCCATGTTCGAAGCATTCCATCTGAGTGAAGGGAATCCAAATCATCAAAGTAATACCAATGTTTTTTTAACAGTGTCAATGATACTTTGTCCGTAAAAATTCACCTTCATTCAGAAAGTAAGCTATTAGTCATGTCTCAGCTTATTTATTCTGCTTGTATACTACCTTTAAGAGATTACAAGCATGTAACAACGTATATAATTATTTAAAACATCATATATTAGACATATACACTATATTATTAAATAACTATGTTCACCGAATTACCTTCAACTTTAAATAAACTTATTCAGGACAAGATTCTCCGATTCAGTTTCAGAGTTCACTACTATGCAATCATAATTTTAGCCGAAAGCTAGTAAAATAATATGCCTGAAAAAGTCGGAGAACCTTTTTTAGAACTTCAACTGAAACAATGACCATAACAATTCTCAACTTCGACAGCGTCGACCGAGAGGTAATTTAGCAGTTGCTTCAGCACTACGGAATACCACAAAGCTTTATCTATCTCACTCAACAGCTACACGCTATATGATGTCACACGCCAAGTAATTCACAATGAGAAGCTCAGTGATGCTTTTGAAGTGAAGACAGGAGGGAGTGAAACAAGACTGTGCACTATCACCGATGATCTTCCTGATTGTAGTGGACTCGATTGTGCAAAAAACCATGAAGAATGAGAAGAGAGGGATACGCTAGCTGGACCGATGAAAAGAACCTAGAAGATTTGGATTTCGCCGATGACTCACGTCTAATGTCATACAAACTTGAAGATCTACAGGCAAAATCCAACAAGTTGACAGAAGTGACAGGGCAGCAGACACGGGACTTCCTTCAAGTTAACGTGCAGAAGACAGAGGTGATGAAGCTACCCCAACCAATACCACCACCACCGACAACAACAACCACAAGCTCCAATCACCATCAGTGGGAGAAACTTAAAGAAAGAAGTAGTCTCTTTCACCTACCACCGAGGAAGCATTGTTTCAACTACAGGCTGCGGCACAGATGAGGACGTCAAAACCAGGGTTGGAAAGCAACACAGGCTTTCATCAATCTGAAACCAGTGTGGAGATCTGCACTCAGCACAAAGCGTGTGGAACAACATCCAGATCTTCAACACCAATTCAGTCAACTCAGTACACCTATGTGATGGTTGAGAGACTTGGCACGTTACGAAAGGCATTAACAACAAACTACAGACATTCATCAACAACTGCCTACACTCACTTGATACTGAAGCTGAGATGGCCAGAATAATGAGAATAAGCAGAAAGGAAGTCTGTCAACGAACGAACCAAGAACCCATCACTGAACAAATATGCAGAGGAAGAAAGTGGAGATTGTGATGGATTGTGCATACACTGAGAAGGCCGACTGGGAACATCAGGTGGCAGGCGAGGCACTAGAGTGGAACCGAGATGAGAAATGGGGAGTTTGTCGTCTGAGGTGAGGGTGACATTTATGAGATGGTGTGAGGAAGAAATGAGAGCTTGTAAGCAAACGTGGCGACAGGTTCAATGGATTGCAGCGAAGGGAGTGCACTGGGGTCATGCTACTGAAACCCTATGTTCCATTAGAAACCCAAGGGACAAATAGTAGTAATAACAATAATAATAATAATTAAATCCTATTTAAGGTTGAATTAATCTTTTGAAAAAGGAACGTTTTCCATTGGAACCAATTGATAGGAGTAGATGCTATTAAAATGAAAACATTATGAGATATATTACAGAACAATATATATGTTTTGACAATGCACATTGTCACCACTTCTTGTTTGAATCATTTCTGTTTGCTTTGAAATTGTTGAATATTGGACAGTTATTCAGTGGATGTAAGAATAGATTAGGTGAACAGTTAGTATGTTATATTCCAGTGCTTCAATCTATCATTCCTTTTTTACATTGGTGTGATGTATCCTGAAGGTTACTGTCATATGAAATATGTTTATTTAAGTTGACCATCGAGTTATCATCCAGAAGGGAACTAATATCTACCGTAGATATATTCATGGTGACGTCTTCAGTAGTATATTCTGTATCACTGAAACTTTTCATCTGGTTATCTTCTTGAATTTCTTCTATTTCGAAATTTGCTGACCATATATTAGCGTCATCATAATTTGAATGTAATACTTTTATTCTACTCAAACTATTATTTAAACTGTCAGGTTTACAACAATAGATGAATAAAACTGTTACCGTTAAAATACCAATAAATAAACCGATACCCATAAGAATACCATTAATCATAATTGTATTATTCTCCATATAATGTTCTGAAATATATTTAGTAATGTTTGACTGGTGATTTTGACATTTTGATCCATATAAAGTTGAAAATATCATCAATAAAGGGATATATTCAATCATATTCTTTCAGTATGATAAATTGTTAATGTGTTAGTTAAATGAGTAAATATTGAGATGGAGAATTATGAGAGAGATAAAAAGAAGTAAAGTATTTCAGTGGATAAACTAATCCACTAACTTATGTCCTATCTAGACAAACTCATATATTTATACTGTTACTAAATAATTACCTGCAAAAGATGATTATCATTTACTGAAAAATATTTACATATTCTGCTCAACGCAGTGTAGAAGGACTGAGAGCATATTAAAACTCTTCTTGTTTATTATCTACCAGTTTCCCCTTTAATCTTTATCCTTGAAATATTTATTCAGTCTTCATGTATTCTAATATTGTTCTGCTTATATTTCAGTCTACCTAATATTTTTAATAAGTCAGAACAATAAGAATACGTTTGTGTCAGATAATTTCTAACCCAGCTAGATAGTATTAAAAAAAATTAGGTAAACAAAGTGTTTGTTGTTTTCTTGACCTCAGATGTTTTCCTTTTGCGTAAATAGACTCTTTTGGTCTATTTCAAAAGATGCACGTCAGTCCATTAGAAATAAGTCGTGTTCTAAAAACCGTGGTACAGAAAAAAACAATTATTATTATATTATTTGTCCCTTGGGTTCCTAATGGAACATAGGGTTTCAGTAGCATGACCCCAGTGCACTCCCTTCGCTGCAATCCATTGAACCTGTCGCCACGTTTGCTTACAAGCTCTCATTTCTTCCTCACACCATCTCATAAATGTCACCCTCACCTCAGACGACAAACTCCCCATTTCTCATCTCGGTTCCACTCTAGTGTCTCGCCTGCCACCTGATGTTCCCAGTCGGCCTTCTCAGTGTATGCACAATCCATCACAATCTCCACTTTCTTCCTCTGCATATTTGTTCAGTGATGGGTTCTTGGTTCGTTCGTTGACAGACTTCCTTTCTGCTTATTCTCATTATTCTGGCCATCTCAGCTTCAGTATCAAGTGAGCGTAGGCAGTTGTTGATGAATGTCTGTAGTTTGTTGTTAATGCCTTTCGTAACGTGCCAAGTCTCTCAACCATCACATAGGTGTACTGAGTTGACTGAATTGGTGTTGAAGATCTGGATGTTGTTCCACACGCTTTGTGCTGAGTGCAGATCTCCACACTGGTTTCAGATTGATGAAAGCCTGTGTTGCTTTCCAACCCTGGTTTTGACGTCCTCATCTGTGCCGCAGCCTGTAGTTGAAACAATGCTTCCTCGGTGGTAGGTGAAAGAGACTACTTCTTTCTTTAAGTTTCTCCCACTGATGGTGATTGGAGCTTGTGGTTGTTGTTGTCGGTGGTGGTGGTATTGGTTGGGGGTAGCTTCATCACCTCTGTCTTCTGCACGTTAACTTGAAGGAAGTCCCGTGTCTGCTGCCCTGTCACTTCTGTCAACTTGTTGGATTTTGCCTGTAGATCTTCAAGTTTGTGTGATATCAGGCACAAGTCATCGGCGAAATCCAGATCTTCTAGGTTCCTTTCCGTTGTCCAGCGTATCCCTCTCTTCTCGTTCTTCATGGTTTTTGCATGATCCAGTCCACTACAATCAGGAAGATCATCGGTGATAGTGCACAGTCTTGTTTCACTCCCTCCTGTCTCCACTTTAAAAGCATCACTGAGCTTCACACTGTGAATTACTCGGCATTAAGCGCCTTCATACATTTGTTGAATAAAGTGATAAAGGTTTGTGGTATTCCGTAGTGTTGGAACGGTTTCCAAATTACATCTCGGTCGACGCTGTCAAACGCTTTCGCAAGGTCGGTGAATTTGAGGTAGTGAGCTGCCTGCCATTTTATACTCTCTTCTCTTATCATGAGTGGAGCAGCGTTGCAATTTCATCCGCATATGATTTGTTCTTCCTGAAGTCAACCAGTATGTTCCTGTCGTAATTTTGAATCCAGAGTACACCTCAGTCTCTCCAGCATGATGCGGCTGAATATTTTGTTTGTGGTAGACAGAGGTGGAGCATGATTCATCGCCACTTCTTGCAAACACTTCGTTTGCCCTTCTTCGGAAGTTTGGCAAGATAGCCTCTCTTCCAATCGCCAGGTACCTTCTCTTCCTTACAAACCTTCTGCATTAGTGGTGTGAGCATGTCCGCTGTTGTCTCTGTGGATGCTGTCAGTCTTTCTGGCAGGATTCCATCTAGTCCTGCTGCTTTCCCACATTTCAGTAGCCTTAGGCGTTCATGGCCTCGACTTTCGCCGGAGGGCTTGTGTTCACTCGTAGTTCTGTGACTGCAAGTGGTGTTTCTGGATGAAGGTGGTGGTGGTGGTCGATTCAAGAGCCTTCCCAACAGGGAAGGTCGGGCATACGACTACCAACCCCACATCGGAAAACACATCCAATCACCTAACAAACTTCAAAGCACAAACAATATATAAAAAATAAAAACAAACTTATTCCTCACTGGAATTGGAGAGACGAAATGACGCCGGTTGATGAGACCCTGCCTTCAGAAAGCCAGTTGGCCGATGTATCTTCTCTCTCTCGATGAAAGCAAAAGTAAACGTGATGATATGGAATGTCCGCATTATGTTTGAACCTAGCAAGGCATCCCAGATTGCAAAGGAGATGAAAAGATATCTCATTTAAGTGTTAGAAATTCGCGAAAGCAGATGGAATGGATGTGGACTCTGCAAACTGTCAACTGGAGAGGAATCAATAATCTACTCCGATATGGTCACCCAGACGACAACCACGAGCACACTGACTTTTCGACTGGCTATCATGATGTCGTCCTCAAGAGAATCGAAGGCTCTCTCTCATGCAGTGAGAACCAGTCTCCTCCAAGATGAGGATCATGACAGCAAGGTTCAACTCAAAAGGAAGGAAGGTCACAATCGTACAATGCTACGCACCTACAAATGATGTAGATGAAGAGAAGAAGGAGGAATTCTACAGACAACTGCAATCAACACTGGACAAGACTCCACCTCAGTTGGCGACATCAAAATTCTAATGGGTGACATGAATGTCAAAGTGGGAGCGGACAACATAGGAAGAGAGCTAACCATGGGTTGAGAAGCGCTCGGTGAGGTGATGAGTGGGAATGGAAAACTGTTTGCAGAATTCTGTGCATTCAACGATTTGGTGATCGGAGGCAGTGTGTTCAAGCACAAGGATATTCTCAAAGCGACATGGATTTCACCAGACACCAGACACACTACACTAAAGATCGGATCGACCTCATATCAATGTGAAGGAAGTGGAGACGCAGCCTACTTGACACAAGGTCAAGAAGAGGAGCAGGTGTAGGTACAGACCACTATCTGGTGCAAGTAACCTTCCAAATCAAGTTGGAAGCCTTGAAGGAAGCTGGTGATGGACCGCAGTTCAAGTACCACACTCGGAAACTGAAGGATGAAACTGCCAGGGACATCTTCACGGTAGCCACCAAGACAAAATGGGAGATATCGGGGAACATTCCTGAAGAAACCTGTGTAGAAGAATACTGGAAGTCTTTAAAAGCTATGTGAAAAGAAGCCTGCACAACCGTATTAGGAATGAAGAAGAAAGAAGATAAGGAATGCATCTCGACGGATACCTGGAAGCTGATAAAGGAGGGAGAGGAGGATGGTGAGGCAGAAGATGAACCACTGAAGTGCAGGGATGAACAATGAAAAGAGGAACTGAATACAACATATAGAAACACTACACTAGACAAAGAAGTGAAGAAGAGTGCACGGAAAGACAAAAGACACTTCTACGAAACACTGGCAGGTGATGCAGAACAGGCAGCGGGCTGATTGGTGAGACCTGACAACATTGTATCAAATAACCAGGTTACTATCTGGGAGGGAAGAGATCAACGCAGACGAAACCAATAAAAGATGATGAAGGAAATCTAATTGGCAAAGAAGAGAAACAAAGGAAACGATGGGCCGACCACTTCGAAAGCTCTTGAATCGACCACCACCACCACCACCTGCACTTCATCCAGAAATACCACCTGCAGCCGCTGAACTACAAGTGAATATAAATCCTCCAACAAAAATGGAAGTCCTGGACGCCACAAAGCTACTGAAATGTGGGAAAGCAGCAGGACCAGATGGGATCCGCCTCATTCAACAACTATGTGAAGACGCCACATGCCAAGTAATTCACAACGGGAAGCTCAGTGATGCTTTTGAAGTGAAGACAGGAGTGAAACAAGGTTGCCTACTATCATCCATGGTCTTCCTGATTGTGTTCAACTGACTGGATCATGCAGCAAACAGAGGGGAGCGAGAAGAGGGGGATACACTGGCTGGACTGTGGAAAAGAACCTAGAAGATCTGGATTTCGCCAGCGATGACTTGTGCCTGATGTCACATAAACTTGAAGATCTACAGGCAAAAACTAACAAGTTGGCAGAAGAGGTAGGGCAGTGAAGACGGGACTTCAAGTGAATGTAGAGAAGACAGAGGTGATGAAGATACCGCACCACCACCAACAACAACAAACTCCAATCACCGTCAATGGGAGAAACTTAAAGGAAGTAACCTCCTTCACCTATCTGGGAAGCACTGTTTCAACTACAGGTGGCAAAGGCACAGACAAGGATGTCAAAGTCAGCCAGGACCGGAAAGACAGCAAGACTGGCATTCATTATCCTGAAACGGGTGTGGAGATCTTCTGCACTCAGCTTGCGGAGCAAGATCCGGATTTTCAACACCAACGTCAAGTCAGTGCTTCTGTATGGTTGAGAGACTTGGCGCGTTACGAAAGGCATTAACAACAAACTACAGACATTCATCAACAACTGCCTACGCTCACTTGATACTGAAGCTGAGATGGCCAGAATAATGAGAATGAGCAGGAAGGAATTCTGGCAACGAACGAACCAAGAACCCATCGCTGAACAAATATGCAGAAGGAAGTGGAGATGGTTTGGGCATGCACTGAGAAGGCCGACTGGGGACATCACGCGGTAGGCCAGGTACTCGAGTGCAACTCAGATGGGAAGCGACGAGTTGGACGTCGGTGCCGAGTCTGACATAGGAGATGGTGTGA